CCTATCCCGTAGAAAACTAAATCTCTATAAAAGTGCTAACCAGAAAAAAATATTAATACATAACATAGTGTATAATGTTTAAGAATGAGCATTTTATATTTAACAGGCACAAGTTGGTCTAAGTTCAAAGCAGTGATATACTAAGAGCTATAGATGATTTAGATAAATCAATAAATAGTAACCACTTATCCATTAGATCAGTTTAGATTTCAAGATCCATTGAAGTTTCGTCATTATCTTATCATCCAGAGATATTACTGATTAACTTCTGGATTATTGATGTTTGTTTGTTTGTTTGTCTGTTTGATTTTTTGTTGTTGAAACTTTTAGTTCATAATATTATAAAAGAAATTTCTACAGCCTTAGGCTGTAATGTTGAAAATGGAAAGAAATTGTCCTTTTTTATTATATGAACATGAATATATTATAATGAATTTCTAATTGACCGTAATATAAATTTAATAAAACACCTATTTGTTTAGGTTTATTTTGTTCTATGAAACAAAAAAATAAATAATTATAAATTCATCAATTGATTGATCTGAAACTAGTTGACAAGTAATGGGAATTATTGATCATTCATTGTGTTTCTATAGATCTGTTTACCAATCATTTAACAGTATACTTTTCAGTAGAACACAACACTTATATGGAGTATCTTAATGAAAATTCATTACATGATAATAAAAAAAGTTTAGTTTATTAAAACATTAATCTAAAGATAAGTCAATTGTATGACATAATCTTAAACTTCTGTGAAGATATAGATCCAAGTTATGATAATCTCATTTTGTCTATATAAAGGTTTCATCATTTTATTGGATAAATTAATAGTTCAGTTTTGAACATGTATAGATGAACTGATGAATTGGCACAATTCTTGAGAAAAAGGTAAAACGATACATGAATTTACTTTATTAAATAAAATGACAGAAATGAACTGTTTTACATAATGTAGCAAATAGTATGCGTTTCATATAATGATAGTCTTAGAAACTGTATTTGGCATGTTGTTTTTTTCTTAAATATTGAACATTTCTGTCAGTTCTTGAATTGAAGCTTTATAAGCTTTTATTAAAACCGCACTAATATATTTTACATATATCCTTACAATGATGTCAATTTTTTATTCATTCGGTGTATACTGTGGAAAACTAAATGAAGACTATTATATCATCATCATCATCATCGCCTGTTACTCCCAATGGAGCACTATTATAATTTATCATAAAAAACAAGTTTGTATTTTTATACTTCATTTATAATAAACCAAGATGTATGTTTTTGTTTTCTTACAGACAAAAGGATATGGGTCATCAATTATGTAATTTAATTTGTTATTATTCAAAGAGAATAATTGATGATGATTATTCTGTGTTGATCTGTATGAAGTTATATGAACAGATGGTCTTTCAAGGTGGCAAGATCATAACAACATATGTAATTGTTTCAATATTTTCTTTTAACTCTATCAAGATGAATATTTAATTTGGTTTTAAATTATCTGTAAAATATAATTGATACTTAGGGAAATCTTACTAACAAGTTATTTAAGCTTTACGTTAACTTAAACTTGCTTGTTTATTTAGATAAAACATAACGCATTATCGGCATAGATGGATAGTGGCTAGTTGTGGAATCCAAGGCACGTGTTTCGTCCTATTCGGGACTCGTCAGCTGGAGTGTACCTGAATTCCAGAAGTCGTACCTAGTACCATTCGCTTCAGAAACCACTGCGTCCCGATTGTTACTTGCTTTTGCAATGGGGTGGAGTTTAAATTCATTTGGTATTGTTTGTCTGCGTCTCAGAGTGAACAACGACTCGGGGATGCAAGTACATTCAGCTCACGAGTCCCAAATAGGACAAAACATGTGTCCTGGATTTCACTGCTAGCCACTATCCATTTTTGCTTATAATGCTTGTGTTTTAAGGCGATCCGCACAGGATGCACATATGCCAATAAGAGACTGATCAATTGCATTCCTAAACATCAATAGAAAGATCCAAACAAACAATACCAAACGAATTAAAACATGTTGGTTTGCATTCCGTTAGTTCTCCAGAGTAACATTTGATAATCAGTTTCTCCGTCAGTGGGTTAAATAGTATTCTGTGTTGTTTAAACCATACCTCTAACATAATCTTAACTTTTCTACATCATGTAATTAAAAACAGTAAATTTTACTTAATAACAATTTTTAAAAAAGAGACTATTGGGAACAGATACAAATTTCATAAAATATCAATTCCTTCATAATTAGTTGTTCAACATGACTAAACATAAGAATCACGCAAATGAGCTTCCAGAGTAAAGATTATGTTCAAATATGTTATTTTGTAACATTTAAGAAATTCCTGTACAGATTATATACACTTTATTGAATATTATGATTGCATTCCATAACGAAACATCTTTATACTTATTTTGCTGTCACGTAAGTAATAAAGCTTTATTTACCATCAAAGTAACTGGAAAATAACTGATGTATTTCAATATCCTTTTATTAAAATCATACTGTAGTTTATTCCGAAATTTGAACCTATTAATACAAGTAATTCATAAAAATAACTCTGGTGTTTACTTAACTGTCTTTTCACTTTAGTAATTAACTATTCGATGACAAAAATTGTATTGCTTTTGAACCTACTTGAATGATATTACCTTTGTGTAATAAGTTTTGAGAACACTTGAGCACAAACCTTTTAACAGAGAAATCTGATGAAATTTATTTTTATCAGAAGGGGTTTTGTGGATGCCGGATCAGTGGTCTAATGATAGGTCCTGGGTTCGAATCTCACCGGGGGCGGGTTCGTGGATGTGCGCTACTGAGGAGTCCCATACTAGGACGAAACAGCCGTCCAGTGCTTTCAGGTATTACATGATGGTTTAACTCTAATTGATTCATGATTTCAACTATTGAAATTCTTGTCAATTATTTTGATATAAAATCGATAAGGTATTAGGTTATTACACACTTTAAACAAAACTTTCTGTTCCCATATACTGTTAGATGAAGCGATATAAATCAGCCTTTTTTTCAATAAAATTAATTAATCTTGTTTCGAAGCTTCTTATAAGTTTCTAACAACTGAACACTATATAAATCAAATGGATAATATCTAAGTAAACTATATTATGTTTACTGGCGAGAAAATAAACTGTTAACTGTTGTTTCGGAAAAATAAACAATTAAGACAAATTCACATCTATATACAACAACATAAAAAGTAGATAGGATTTATGATAGAAGTAAGAGATTATAGTACAGATATCAATCTCTGAAAGAGAAGAAACTATTAGATAAACAACTGAAATGAATGAAATAAGTGAAAACTAACACTAATATTAAAGAGTGAATTTGTTAAAATAATAAAATGAAAAGATGACGTCATGGCAGTCACCCTATCCTAATATAAACAAAAAAATATTTTTTCTTATACTTGTAGACAGTGACAGACATTTGTTACGTAACTAGAACTTTCAATCCAAATCCATCACTACATTGTATTGTTCATAGTGAACTAAATACAAATAGGGGTATTAATACATTTATCAAATCATTCTTAACTGTTTTAGGAGGTAAATGATTATATTCAACATAATACAATTGGCTTTATTCTGAATTGGGTTTATGAAACAAAAAGTTGACAAATCTGAATGATGTTACATAACCGAAATTGGATCATAACATTAGGATAGTAGCTAAACTTTGTAAAAAGTACGTTGTAGAAGACGTTATAAATGTAAATAAGACATATGTTAGTATGCTACATCAGTTAACTCCAAGTCTATATGAAAAAAGAATTTTCAAAAGTGTCCTATTGTTATTAGAAGCAAGTGAATTCAATGAATTCTGTGTATGTCCTTAGGTACTTTCACCTTACTTATACGAATCTAACTGTTTTTAAGAAATCAAATTATCTCTCACTTTAGACCAATGTGTTCTTTTTATTAAAATTAGTAAAACAGAAGTGTAAAACTAATGAACTAATAGATTTTACAGTACGACGAATCACATAATTCAATATTTCAGTCACTATTAGTAGTTTGTAATCAATCGATTTTAATGAGTCTTCCAAGTCAATGCAACAACTAAAAGTTTCATATTTTTATTCTACAAATTAAGTAGTATGATAGAGACAAAATAGATTTAATCAAACTAACATTTCTATGTTTATTAGCTTATGTCTTCGACTGAACAACTGTCATTCATTATTATTGAAACATTAACTAATCATTAACCTAATTGTAAAATTCAGACTTGTGTATTATTTCATGTGCTCAATTAATTCCATATAATTCAAAATATATTATATTCACTGAATGTCATTATATTAAAGCTCGAAGAAGCATAGATAATCGTAGTGAATATATAATGTTGTTCCAGTATGAAAACATTGACTTAACGTTTTCATCGTCTGAGCCATAGTGTCTCCTTAGGGAAACCATTTAATTTCTGGAAAATAATTTTTGAACTCAACCATAAAATTGCTTAAATTTCCACAAAACCTCCTTCTGATATTAATCATCATATGCTCACTAGGGATATTTCCTGGAGTTCTAGTGAGAAGCAGTGATCAGTGGAGTTCAACCTAGTCTGTTGTGAGATGGTAACTCATAGACGATAATGGTAGATGTGTCGCTCAATTTCATGGATTGGTTGAAGTTAGACATTAACACCGTTGAATAGCGACCGGCTCAGTGGTCTAGTGAATAAGCATTCGCCCGCGAGATCGATAGGTCCTGGGTTTGAGTCTCGAAAGGCGGTATCATGGATGAGTACTGCTGAGGATTCCTACACTGGGACGAAACGGTCGTCCAGTGCTTGCAGGTTTTCCATGGCAGTCTGACTTTAATCGACTCATGAATTCAACTATAAAATAGTTTTTGTGTTACTGTCTCTAAAATCATGTTATTTATGTCAACGAAGATATTGTTAGAGTATTTGTCAAAAGTGATGTAGAAAAATGTCTATATCTTGAAAATTTAAGAATCTACCTTTGCGATTAATGCTTCATCTGACTGTTATATCTCGTTATGCAATATTGCTTATACCGTATACTGAATTATAACATTACAATATACAAAAATTCTGTGTTTTTATCTGCATCAAACATAAAGTCTCATAAAATACAATTAACAGAGGAACAAATACAAGTAAGATGTGTAATTCATTTGTAACAATGAAGAAAATAAATTTCTTTTTTATACTTTTTTAATTGAAAATTGGTATGTTTCTAAAATTGTTCATTAGTTTAACTATTCGGATCATAATCGATTGATTAGCTGTCTACATCTACATCACTTCCGACAGTTCAGTAGCATCATGAGATTTAAAGCAAATAAGTCCCTTATAATTGATGGCATAAGAAAATGGACTTATTAAATGAGCTAGTTTATAGAAGAAATCTAAAGTGTATTTGATAACTTAACAGTCATATATGAATATTTCTATGTTCTAGTAATAATGTTGTGTCAAATTTAATGGATCACATTGGTAGCATAAAGTTTCCAGACTTATGATCAATTATTAGATGATTTCTTGATTGAAATGTTTTGACTATTATGGTATACGAATGAAGACGTAGAAAGCTTTGGAAAAACTGATTTGTGGGGGGAAGGTACAAATCATTTTATGATATATTTAACGAGTTTATGAGTAAAAGACTTGGGCTATCGCAGCACTTAGTTTATCCAGACCAACTTTCAGGTGATCCTTAACGAACAGCACATAATCTTATGTACTCAAATATTGTTTCAGGAGTGTGAAATTTTAAATGGCTAGATCCGACAACCATTCATGATTATAGTAATAACGTAATAAAAAATGTCGACTGTATGATGTAACTAATGTAATGGATATCTAAGAATTTTGGTAATATAAAAATCCATTGGGTGTAGATTTGGAAAATCCTCTTCAATTTATAACTGATCCAAGGATTTGTTAAAGATAAGTTGGTTTAGGGCTGCCATAATTTTTATTTACCAGATTACATACTCCTGTAGATCATGTTCTATTGTCCATACAAAGAGTTCTACAGCACTTCCGAACTCATTTCCGAGCACCAGATATCATGGCTATCAGAAAATGAGTCAAAAGTTACTCATTAAACCCCTGTCTGAGCATCTATTCATTGCTTATCATAGATTTTCACCAGAATCTTCATTTAATTTCACAAATTGTTTGTAAAGGAAGTTGGATGGGAAATTTGTGGATAGCAGATGACTTGATGATCCATCAATTTAAACCTGATCTGTATGCAGAAGCGATATATTCAATCTCATACTTTATCATTGCTGTAATTCCCCCCCCCATTCTTAATTTGTAGGTTGTCTTTGACAAATGCCCATCTCTTGTTTGTCTTTTCTGTATTCATTCAAGTGGATATTTATCTTTCTCATACCTCTTTGTGTTGTCTTCATCTTATTGCCCTTTGATTATTATGCAATTATATTCGATCGATCAAATGTCTGATTAACTTTCAATATGTTTAGACAATTCTGAATAAAATGTCAATGATAGTAAAAGAGACCATCATGAAAATTTTCTTTGTTAACCTGTATTTCATTCTACACAGATTAAAATATATACCTTCCTATTGATTTTATTAAAATGATTCATGAATTACATATATAACACAATAAAACATACCTAATAGTCCAGGTAAATGTAAAAGCTCCATTATCTCACCAAACATAAAACCAAAACCATAGAAAATAAGTATACTTAATGCTTCACCATGACGACATTCAAGTGCTCTTTCAAATTTATTCCCTGAGAATTGATTATCATTCATAGAATTATTTGTTAATTGATCTATTCTTTTTATGATAGAAATAAATCGACATTGTGGTGGTAATGCAATACTTGGTTTAATTGATATAATACATGCATATATAGCTAATAAAAATAATCCATATGTAAATATACTACTTAAATGTGTATAAATCCATAATAATAATTTAGATAACCATATAGGTAATTTTATATGTTTTAAACATAATTTACAATGATTATGAAATTTTTTTTGATATTTTTTTAATTGACTAATTTTTTTATTTGTATGAATTTGTTGAAATTCTAAATTATTATTATTATTATTATTATTATTGTCAATATCTTGATTGAAATTTTTTTCATAATTCATTTTAGATAAATCAATATTTATTGATTTTCAATAATTTCATCAATTTATTGATTATAATCAATTATTCATATAGAATCATGATTTATATTGATTGTTTAATGTGAGTAATTGGATTGAATAGATGATGATTGTAAGAAATATTGATTATTTATAATTGAATTATCAAGTGAATTATTGATTTCATTAATTGTATCAAAACTTTCACGATCAATCAATAAGGATACTATTTTCAAAAATAAAATATTAAAAAAAAGAATTGAAAACTTTAATCAATATAAAGATGAATAGAAAAGAGGTTTGAAATGTTAAGATAATAATTGAAGTAAACTTTATAAGGAACATTATCATATATGAAGTTCTGGTCTCTTTTTTTCCATTAACAGTTACTATACTAATATTATGCTTTACTAGTGTCTATTATGATTCACTTATTTCTCCGTTATTTAGTATAATTAACTTATGATTATTAATAAACTGCTAGGTTTGAAGCTATCACGAGTTCGCTTAATCTATGAATGAGAACAAGACTCGGTGACCATAGACCAGTAAGCTAGCTATTTGATGTGTCCCAGCCCTGCTAACTAGAGAGAGAAGTTCAAGCTTGGAATGGGAAAGTATATTCTGCAAAACAGTCAGAAACGAGCGATAACGACAAACACAATTCAAAACGTATATATACAGTGCAAAACCGTCCTTGGGGAGAGTTACCAAATAGTATATTAAAAGACGCAACGGACCGATAGCATTTAAGGTATTTCCCAGTGGGAAATAGGACATGAAGGTGACAAAAGCGCCTTTGGCGCCAAAACAAAGAAATTCAAATTTCCTAAATAAAATTACAAAATTAGGTTCTTTCCCAAATGAGTTCTGGGGATCTAACGTCCCCAACATAGACCAACTATTATAAGGAAATATTTAAAATGAAATGTATCACCCATATAAGAGAAAGAATATATTTGAACGAATTTTAAGTGAATACAACCTTTTGTCTGATAATTTGGTTTAAACATTTTCAAGAAAGTTTAATCAAACATCAAAATGATCGAATACAAATATGTACAGGAATTCCAATGATGGATTAAACTACAAAATTGTGTATGGATGACAGTTAACAAACTCGATCGAAGTAAAGACCGGTGTCAGGCAAGGTTGCTTACTCTCATCCTTTCTCTTTCTCCTAGTGATCGAATGGATCATGAAGACGCCAACATCTGAAGGAAAGCACGGGGTACAATGGATATCTAGAATGCAGTTGGATTAGGTGAAACGCTGGATTTATTTCGAATTCAAATTCGCTGAAATTTTACTAATAAGTTCGTTCTCTTTAATGTCTCATATCAACTTGGCGCCCAAATACTATGAAAATATTCGATGGAATTTAGAAGTAAGTTCTTCTATATCATCCATATATTTTGCTTGTATATATTCATACAAATCAGAATTAAATCCATTTTTTATTTTTTTATTTTTGTTTTTTAAGATTTCAGTCACTTGAAATCGATGAAGAATATCATTAAGATTCTCAGTAATAGTTTTAGTTGCATATATAGTTAATCTGTGTATTCAGTGGACTACAAATAATAATGGAATTTATAAATAAAAGATTACATTGGTAATTATATCATCCCAGGTATGCCGGCTCAGTGGTCTAGAGTTTATGCGTTCGTGAGCGAGACCAATAGGTTCTGGGTTTGAATCTTGCGAGGCAGGATCATGGATGCACATTGCTGAGGAGACACCATACTAAGACGAAACGGTCGTCCGGTGCTTCCAGGTTTTCCATAGTTGTCTGGCTTTCATTGCTCCATGAATTTAACTAATAAATAAATAAATCCCAATTTTCGAAAATCTTATATCAAGATCTTTGTCCTTGTATCTCCTTTCAATTGATTGCTCATGGAAATAACCTTTTTAGCAATTTAAACAGTCATTCACGTTACTATTTCGACCTAAACCGTCTATCAACGAACCTATGCAAATAGTCATCAGTGATAAATGTCTGTTGCAGCTTATTGAGTTCATTTTTAACTATATCATCAACAAATATTCTCCTAGCTCTTGATGACTGAGAGTGAATTAAGTTTTTCTTCAATCTAAATGTGACTCAACTTTAGAAATTTGTGTACTGATCATTCCAGGATGACTTTCTGTACATCAATACTTGGAGTAATAAACCTTTCATTGTTTTAACAGGATAGCTGAAAATAGAACTTGAAGTTTAAAACTGATTCTACGAATTCTACGAATTTGATTGATTGATGGCAGCTACTGAGTTCTTTCAGGATGCCGTTGAGTTGGATACTTCTGTGGAAAATTGTGAAGTATTATCTAGATCCTGACATTGTTGAGATTTTTTATCATTATTTAGGATCGACTTTTTATGTGTTTACTGAACATTAATTGTTATTTAGTTAAAACTTGAATAACTTAAACTTATGTTCAATCACATCTTGGAAAATCAGTCCGAACCATTAGTTTCCCATAACAAATTTAGATTACATACGTTTACTGAGGGTTAACACATGAATTTTTCCATTATTCTTATTGGAAAATATTTTTGGTGTCTGTAAATATATGAGACAGAGCATCATTTTTATACGACAATGCTCCATAAAAATAAGGAATGAATGAGGTTGCATTATATCAACTTTTGATCAGGTGTACAACAGTATCTTATAGGGACTATAACGGGATGTGTCATAAAAATAGATATTTGCTTCCTAATAAATCAAATCACCAGTAATCAGTTTATATAAAACTTGAATGAGCAATTTAAAAGAAACTGGGAAACAAGAATGAAAGAAACTGCGTCTATATGGTAAATGGTAGTAAGTGTAATAGTGAATATGAAGGAGAAATATCCAAGTAATTAAATATGAAAAGTGAGGGAACAAAAACGATATTTGGAATATATTTCTGAATCGTTTACAGATTTAAAAACGTTTCAGAGTAGATCAGTAATTACATACTGCTCTTTAGAACCGGAAAATTAGTGGAGACAAAAAAGATTTTACTTCTTAAAAAGAACGAATAACAACTGAAGTCCTAGACATATGCGGTGAATATAAACAATGTGAATAGAATAAATGAAATACAGATAGCTATGTCATGGCAATGGTTGATTAATTAATGAAAATTCTATCGACCATAACATGACTCCAACAATAACATATCTTTTAGTTAGTTCTTCAAATACTCCCAGTTTAACATGACCATTATCAATAAATACATACTTCAATGGATTTCATATGTACTCTTATATACTTATATGTACTTTTAGTATTATCATAAACAAAACGGTCACTTCACTTGTAAACTTAGGATGAGGCTTCATTTGTTCACTTAACTATCACAACCATAACATACATAAGCACACTCACTCATGTATATCATATGTTAAACGAAGTTCAGATAAGGTGACTCATATTCTTAATATCTATATAAATTCAGGACTTGAACAAGGTTAAACAAGTGTTCGTATAGAATTGTTTTAAAATTGTATTTGCCCTTGATTATCTTGATTTTCATTATTTCTAAGGAGAAATTTGAATAGATAAGCCGAAAGAAAAATTTCAAATAATTTCAATTTCAATCTCTGGGATTATTTCAAATACAGCGGCCCACTTGAGCATCTGGGCTACCTGTTCCTGCCATCTAGATATTTCAACAAGTTATCTATTTTTGTTTGTTTTAATATATCACAATGTTTATTAATCGCATAAACTATCCTGCTGCGTTTCTGAAAAGTGTACAACCTTTCGTTGTCAAAGTTACAAAAAACTCATTAAGAGACAATGTGGTTGCTGGCAATATACAACGAAAAGAATGTACATTATTCAGATGTTCATTCACTGAAGTGCTAACATCTAACTGGCGATTCCTCAATATTTATCGCCAGGACCGACCAAGAAGAAAGAAACGGAAACTTGTTGAAATACTTTGCACTGAAAATTCTATATTGTACCAAAAATATAATATTGAATAAAGCAGATAATAATAATAATACATTTAATATCACTAAGAACCGAATTACAGTAGAAAGATATCTCATCTAAGTGTTTATAACTTTTGGCAGTGAATATCAATAATCCATGGCATGTTTAGATCTCGTTACAAGTCCATCTTCGAAACATTAAATTGGAATTCAGTTATCAATACTGTAAAATATTTTTAACTTCCAATTCAAATGTTATAACTAATAATGTCAATAGTTAAAATCATGAGTCAATTGAAGCTAGACCATCATGGAAAACCTGAAAGCACTGGACGGCCGTTTCGTCCTACTGTGGGACTCCTCAGCAGTGCACATCCACGATGTGTTTTGCTATACTTTAGTCTAGAAAAAGTAAAAACAAACAGACTGTTTTCTGTTCTGACTGTAGTTTTTTGTGTTGTTTCTTAATTACGGATATTTAATGAAAAATGTGTTGAAAAAGTTTTGAAATGTCAATTAATAAGAATCGATTTATTAATTAAAGCAATTAGTCCCTTTGATAAATTTCGATAGTCTAATAAGAAGATGAAGATTATCAGAACTATGTGATATATTAACGCAATACATTTCGAATCACACATTTACTTGTTAAGAACATTTATGCATAGAAATAAAAGGTCAACTAGACTAGAAATGGAAGGTAAAAGGAGACAAGAATAATAAAAGAAAATAATTTGAAAACAATTTTAGATGAGACTATAATTGATGGACTGCGTTTGAGCGACGCTATACTGACCTTGAGAGTGTCCACCTAATAACCATGACCGAATGAGGGCTATAAACCTGTTTGAGGAATTGAAATTATGATTTAAAGTTGATGGTTAAGGTTAAGAATTAGATTTAGAATTTTTATCACAAACTGACATCAACTATAATGCCAAAACTTTATTTAGCTAAGTGGGTGAATTGATTTCGCGTCAAAATCCGAGACCTGTTATCTTATACCTGACTGGTTTGTCCATAAATTATAGTTTCCCCCAGTTCGAAATCTCATTATTCCTGATAATAAGGTATTTTTATTATTGAATGCTACTACAAATCACATTAAATTTATGTCAGTAATCTTAAGGAGGTTCGTGAAATGATTCTAAAATCATCGTTTGATTTTAAAACAGGATTATTTAACATTTGAATTTTCTTCGAACTTTCAAGTTTTTAAAAGACGGTAGTTTAATGTTATTACATGAAGAATTAGAGATAAAATACACTTTTACAGACTATAAACAGCT